TTTTCTGGCACAAGGTGTCTCAGGCTCATCTTGCCCCACACTTGGAATCAACCATTTCTACAAGGAGCTCAGGTTTCTTTTTAGAGACCATGTTACCTTAAAAGCTTTCCCATTTCTCTTAAATAAAGTCCAAAATACTTAACATGGTATATATAGTACCATGCTTCCTAACTAATTGATCCCTTCAGTGCTCCGAGTTATTAGTAGGGCCTGTGTTGACTGTAGAAGCTGGGTACAAGCAGCTTCATGCATTTTCCACAATGGTGCATACAGTACTTTCTATGATTGCAATGATATGAAAACAGTTGGGCGGTGTAGGTGTAGTGGATAAAAGTATATTTTTCAGCTCAGAAAACCTTTCTTTGGTGGAACTGCCTCTTCTCCGTCCAGTTATAAATCTGTTTAGTCCATGTAATTGAGATGAACCTGACAGGGTTCTTCCTCTCCCTGACACAAACAATTGCATTCCCAGAATGGATGCGTGATCCAGGCCTGGGTTAGTAGAGGATTCCATCCCCTACCCATCTGGTCAGTTCAGGGATGGGTAAGCTAAACTTGGCTACTTGGAGCTTTTTTGGATACTTCTGCCTGAGCCATTTTTCTCTGGAATTGTTATCGAGAAACATTCCCTAACTTTCCTGTCAGGTCAGATTCCCAGTTATTCACTCTTATAACTCCCTATACTTCTCTTTCATCACCCTTCCCTCAAGGATAATCGTCTGTGTAATCATTTGACTAACCTCTGACTTTCCTGCCAGTATGTCCCATGAGGGTAGGGGCTCTGTGTACTCTGTTTACTGCTCTATACCCAACCATGACATGGTGATTGACACGTAGTGGGTGTCCCTTCAATATATAGTGAAAGTATGAATAAGTAAAATTTTAAGGCTTAAGGTACATATATAATAATCTTGTTTATTAGAAAATATACATTTACAATGTAAAATACATTAAATTACAAAAAAATCAGCAGTAGTCTAAAATGTTACCAAAAATTTCCTCTCAAAATAAGTTAATCTATTCTTGAACAGATGCAGACAAGCAGTTTACCCTCTCCAAAACAATAAATTACATGCAGATTTATTTCACTTTATGCAAGAGAAAAGTCGTATATGACCTGGAGTTTATTTCAAATGTAGCCAAGCTTAGCAAGGTAGCATGTACATCTTTGTGAAGTTATAAATCCCCTCAGAATATGAAAATCACTCTTTCTTATGAAGTTTAAGTTTTCAAAACATCTTTTCTTTTTTTTTTTTAAAAGATTTTTTATTTATTTATTTCCCCCCCAAAGCCCCAGTAGATAGTTGTATGTCATAGCTGCACATCCCTCTGGCTGCTGCATGCGGGACGCGGCCTCAGCATGGCCAGAGAAGCGGTGCGTCAGTGCACGCCGGGATCCGAACCCGGGTCGCCAGCAGCGGAGCGCGCGCACCTAACTGCTAAGCCACGGGGCCGGCCCACATCTTTTCTTAAATATACGTTATTTTTAGCAGTTTTTCATGCCTTAGGGTCTACTCTTTTTCAATTTATACTCAAATTGTCCCACTGAAGACCTCAACTAGGTGATTTTTTCCCTCAAACTTTACCTCCCTGCTCTCTCCTCAACCCCATGTCACTTCCTTATCTTCTTTTGTGCCAAGATGTGTGCTGGTATAATCATCTGGAGAAGAAAGTGCTCTCAATAAAAAGGAAGGTGGTAGTCATTTTTGCAAGGTTATAGTTTGTCTGAATTTTATTCAATATTATAAATCTTCAATGAAGTTGGAAAACTTCTCTATGTCATATTCTTGCATGGAAACAGGCTAACTATTATGCTAAGATTTTAAACGCCCCAGTCAGGGGGCTTCAAACTACGTTTCTCAAATATTTCTGCTATTAGGAGTCACTGGTATAAGTAACTTAATTTACCCTACAATTAGCAATTAATCAACTGCTATTACTACTTTCTGGGCTATTTTCCCCACTACGAAAAATAGAGTGGTTAAGAGCATGGACTCTGCAGACAGACTGTTATTTAGACAAGTACCTTAACTTCTCTGTGCCTCTCTGTTCCTTCACCTGTAAAATGGGAATCATAATAGTACCTTCACTCCATAAAATTGCTATGAGAATTGAACTGTACATTACACTCACCTGGAATATGGAAAGAATTCTATAAAATGTTTGCTATTATAATTTTCATCATTACTGTTACTGTTGTTATTTCTATCAGGCACACAATCTAAACCAAAGGTGGAGTTTACTCTTTAGGATTAGAAGTGACCCAAAAAATATAAGACAGAGGAAGGAGCTGCAGAACATCAGGGAATAGGGATCCCAGGACTTGACCAAACAGCCAGAAAACTGGCTATGGTTCTAATAATCTAACTGAAGCAGTCTTGCTATGGGAGGTGAAGAGTGAAAACAATCTCTAGAATCTAATCATAGGATGATTTCTGTCAGATTAAGCCTTCTACTAGAGCTGAAGAAGTTGGATTTAAAAGTATAGCAAACTTCAAAAGCAAAAAAAACAATCCAATTAAAAAATGGGCAGAGGATCTGAATAGACATTTTTCCGAAGAAGACATACAAATGGCCAACAGGTAGACGAAAAGGTGCTCCACATCACTAATCCTCAGGGAAATGCAAATCAAAACCACAATGAGGGGCCAGCCCCGTGGCTTAGCAGTTAAGTGCATGCGCTCTACTACTAGCGGCCCGGGGTTGGATCCTGGGCGCGCACCAATGCACCGCTTGTCCGGCCATGCTGAGGCAGCGTCCCACGTACAGCAACTAGAAGGATGTGCAACTATGACATACAACTATCTACTGGGGCTTTGGGGAGAAGAACGGCAAAAAAAGGAGGAAGATAGGCAATAGATGTTAGCTCAGGGCCGGTCTTCCTCAGCAAAAGGAGGAGGACTGGCATGGATGTTAGCTCAGGGCTGATATTCCTCACAAAAAAAACAAAACAAAAAAGCAAAAAACCCACAATGAGATATCACGTCACACTTGTTAGGATGGCTATGATCAAAAAGATAAGAGAAAACACGTGTTGGTGAGGATGTGGAGAAAGGGAACCACTGTTCACCATTGGTGGGAAGGTACATTGGTATAAACATTATAGAAAACAGTATGGAGGTTCCTCAAAAAATTAAGAATAGAAATACCTTATGATCCAGCTATCCCACTACTGGGTATCTACCCAAGGAACCTGGAATCAACAATCCAAAAAGGCTTATGCACCCCTATGTTCATCGCAGCATTATTCACTACAGCCAAGACGTGGAAGCAACCCAAGGGTCCCTGGACTGATGACTGGATAAAGAAGATGTGGTATATATATACCATGGAAGACTACTCAGCCATAAAGAAAGACAAAATCATCCCATTTCCAACAACATGGATGGACCTGGAGGGTATTATGTTAAGTGAAATAAGCCAGAAAAAGAAAGACAAACAAGGCATGATTTCACACATATGTGGAAGATAAACCAACACACAGACAGATAGAACTGTTAGGTGGTTACCAGGGGCTAGGGGGGTGGGGGGTGGGCACATGGGGTGGAGGGATGCACTTACATGGTGACTGATAAACAATAATGTACAACAGAAATTTCACAATAAAAAAAAATTAAGAATAGAACTACTATATGATCCGGCAATCCCACTTCTGGGTATTTATCCAAAGGAGATGAAGGCAGGATCTTGGAAAGATATCTGTACTCCCATGTTCATTGCAGCATTATTCATAATAGCCAAGAGATGGAAACAATGGATGAATGGATAAGGGAGACGTAGTGTGTGAAAATATATATATATATATATATGTGTATATATATATATATATATATACACATATTCCATATATATAATGGAATACTATTCAGCCACAAGAAAGAAGGAGATCCTATCATTTGTGACAATATGGATGGAACTTGAGGGCATTATGTTAAGTGAAAAAAGTCAGATAGAGAAGGATAAATACTGTATGATATCACTTGTATGTGTAATCTAAAAGAGCCAAACTATTAGAGGCAGAGAATGGAATGACAGGTGCCAGGGGCTAGAGGGTGGAGGAAATGGGGACATGCTGGTCAAAGAGTACAAACTTCCTGGTATAAGATGATAAGTGCTGGGGATCTAATGTACAGCATGGTGATTATAGTCAATAATATTGTATTATATACTTAAAAGTTGCTAAGAGAGTAGCTCTTAAATGTTCTCACCACAAAAAAGAAATGGTAATTATGTGATGTGATGGAGGTGTTAGCTAAAGCTATGGTGGTAATCATTTTGCAATATATAAATGTATCAAATCAACATGTACACATTAAACTTACACACTATTGTACGTCAGTTATATCTCAATAAAGCTGGAAAAAGCAAACAAACAAAAGACACAGGGAGAAGATATCCATCTACAAGCCAAAGAGAGAGGCCTCAGAGGAAACCAACCCTGCCAACACCTTGATCTCAGACTTCTAAGCTCCAGCGCTGTGAGAAATAAATTTCTGTTGTTCAAGCCAAAAAAAAAAAGAGTACAGCAAACTTAGTATAAAGTACAGATTACAGTGTTTACTCTCAGATTTGAAAATATTTATAACTTAGAGTAGGAAATATTTGAAAAAGTATTTAGAAATATTTTTGCATTTTTTGTAATACTGATTATCCATATACATAGTTCTGTACTAGGTCCTTTTATCAGCATTCAACTTATATAGAGATAGAAATGTATACACAGAGAGTATGATTTAGCCAGCTTCAAGTAAACTCAGTAAACTGTTAGATTAAAGCCATTTTGCCTCAAATATTTACTAGCATGACTAGATTGGGGCTATCACAGCCTATCCAATTTCAAATTCTGCAGTTCTGAATAGCTATGCAGACATAGATTGAAAACTGTTGTGTCTTCCCTGCCACTACTGAGAGATGGGAAAGTAAATAATGAAAGTGATAGTTTTTCTCCAGAATTTAAGGGAGTTGAAGAATTCCAATAATTTTAATAAACAGTTTGCAATAACACATATCTGGGCTTATGTTTCTAAAGTGAATTATTTATTAATACCTGAAAGAAAAAAGTAGTTAGCTCTACTAAAGGTAGTGAAATCCATCTTGATCTCTTAACGCTCTTTATCGCTCAAATATTAGCATTATTCGTACCCATCTATTAACTTAAGGGTTACTTAGTGAGATCCTGAACTAAAATAAGACAGAAGGTGTAGTATTAAAAACAATGACTTACAGAAGGTAAGGTAGGATGGCAGTCATGGTTATGTGGAAAAGTTAAGAGTTATGATTTTTATTTCATAAAGAAACTTGATAATAAGAGAAAGTGCATTTTTTTAATAAATAAAAAGTAGGTACCTTCAAACAAAAGCACCTATTTAGGTAAACAATTTTTATGATTTCATTGTGTTATAGGTAGTCAATACAGAACTCTCCTGCGGTTTCACTGCATAGATATTCTCTCATTATTTTAATGACGCCTCTACAGTTTGAATTAAGAGTACAACTTCACATTTATAGACTATCGTCCATTCACTCGAGAGTTCATGCAACCCAAAAAAAGGTGTTATATGAAGAATATTTCTTTTTTAAGATAAGGAAATTATGATCCAGAATGTTTTTACATTATCTTACTATTCATAATTACACATAGAATTCCCTGTGTTATTCAATAAATGTTCTTCTTATTCAAAATATACAGTATCTGCAGCCTGCTTTTTGGAAACTGACTCATAGCAATTGTCTAGCAGAGCCTTAGAAGAGGAAGTCCCACACAGCAAGTACTTTCCATTACTGTCTTAGCTAGGCTACTCTTGAATCCTTCCATGCCTTACAGAAAAAGCGATGAGTCTTCTGTAAACCACTCCCAGGAGTGTGATGGCGAGCACCACTATTCCACACACAAGGCTGAATGCCCATCGTGGGCCCCAGGAAGTGTACACTTGGGTGATGAACACAGGTCCAAGAATCCGAGCTGCACTGCCAGATGCTGTTAACCAGCCCATGTACACACCCTGTGGGGGTGGGGAGGGGAGAAGCAGATTCATATCAAGTTGAGTTATTTAAAAAACAAGGATGATGCTACTATTACCAAACTATGGCAAACTCATAAGAATCACTTTCTCCATCTTTTATTTTTAAATTAAATATAAAATGCATCTCTATAAATATAGCAAATAATGAACAATAAACTTATTTGATATTGTCAGTTTAGGAAAAGTAAAAGTAGTAGTAAAGGGACAAACTTAATGTCTGCTGAAGCCCTGGGAACAATATAATTTATTAATTTATCTTTTAAGGCTAACATTTATTTTGTACTTGCTGTCTTCCCGACACTGTGTTCGGGGCTTTACATGTGATGTTTCTAACGCTCACAAATGTCTATGATTGGTGTTGCCCCACTTAACAAAAGTGGGAACCGAAGCTCAGAAAAGTCAAGTAACTTGTGCAAGAAATTTGAAGCTATGTTTGGCAGACTCCACTGTCCCACCTTCCACTAAAGCACAATGTCCCTCCTCCAAATGCTGTACCCAAAACTGTAACCCAGACAGTCTACCTAAGAATGTGCAATGAAGCATTATTTTTAAAGATTTTATTTATTTATTTTTCCCCCAAAGCCCCAGTACATAGTTGTCTGTCATAGCTGCACATCCTTCTAGTTGCTGTATGTGGGACGCGGCCTCAGCGTGGCTGGAGGAGTGGTGCCTCGGTGCGCACCCGGGATCCGAACCCAGGCCGCCGGCAGCGGAGCGCACGCACTTAATCACTAAGCCACGGGGCCGGCCCGTGAAGCATTATTTTTAATATCCCCAAACTGAAAACAACCTAAATGTCTATCAATGGTGGATTAAGTAAATAAATTATGATGTATTTAATGAATGAAATGCTAGGCAGTTACTTAAAAGAATAAGGCATTATATACAGTAAGATCTTATAATTAGAATAACATCTTATATGCATTGATATAGAAAGAAGGCTATGGCATATTAAGTAAAAAAAATTCAAGATGCAGAAAAAACTTTATGTACATGAGATATAATATAGTCTGTTTCATATTTTTTTAAAAAGGCATGGATGTGGATATATTTGAATAGGCAGAGATGTCCTTGGGGCTGGCCTGGTGGCGTAGTGGTTAAGTTCTCACACTCTGCTTCAGTGGCCCGGGGTTCGTGGGTTCAGATCCCCAGTGTGGACCTACGCACTGCTCATCAAGCCATGCTGTGGCAGCATTCCATATACAAAATAGAGGAAGACTGGCACAGATGTTAGCTCAGGGACAATCTTCCTCAAGCAAAAAGAGGAAGACTGGCAACAGATGCTGGCTCAGGGCAAATCTTTCTCATCAAAAAAAGAAAAGAAAAGAAAAATGTCTTGAAGTAAACAGTGGTTGACTTCAGTGTGGTGAGGCTAAGAGGAGCCTTCATTTTCTGCTATATACATTTCAAATTATTTGAATTTTGTTATAACCGTCATGTATTGTTTTTGTAATTAATATGCTTTTATTCTTTTTTTAATTGATGTGTTAATAGTTTACAACATTGTGAAATTTTGGTTGTACATTTTTGTTTGTCGATCACCATATATATGTCTCCCTTCACCCCTTATGCCCACCCCCCACCCCCATTGCCCCTGGTAACCACAATACAGTTTTCTCTGTCCATGTGTTGGCTTATATTCCACATTTGAGTGAGATCATACGGTGTTTGTCTTTCTCTGTCTGGCTTATTTCACTTAACATAATACCCTCCAGGTCCATCCACATTGTTGCAAATGGGATGATTTTGTTTTTTTTTTTATGGCTGAGTAGTATTGCATTGTATATATATACCACATCTTCTTGATTCAATCATCAGTTGAGGGACACTTGGGTTGCTTCCACTTCTTGGCTATAGTGAATAATGCTGCAATGAACATAGAGGTGCATAAGCCTCTTTGGATTGTTGATTTCAGGTTTGTTGGATAGATTGCCAGTAGTGGGATAGCTGGATCATGGGGTATTTCTATTATTAATTTTTTGAGGAATCTCCATACCATTTTCCATAGAGGCTGCACCAGTATGCATTCCCACCAGCTGTGTATGAGGGTTCCTGTTTCTCCACATCCTCTCCAACATTTGTTGTTTTTTAGTCTTGGTGATTATAGCCATTCTAACGGGCGTGAGGTGATATCTTAGTGTTGTTTTGATTTGCATTTCCCTGATGATTAGTGATGTTGAACATCTTTTCATGTGCCTATTGGCCATCTGTATATCTTCTTTGGAGAAGTGTCTGCTCATTTCCTCTGCCCATTTTTTGATGGGGTTGTTTGTTTTTTTGTTGTTCAGTTGTGTGAGTTCTTTATATATTATGGAGATTAACCCTTTGTCAGATATATGTTTTGCAAATATTTTCTCTTCATTTTGATCCTGGTTTCATTTGTCTTGTAGAAGCTCTTTAATCTGACAAAATCCCACTTGCTTATTTTTTCTTAGGTTTCCTAGTCTGAGTAGGCATGGCATCCGAAAAGATTCCTTTATGACCAATGTCAAATAGTGTGTTGCCTACATCTTCTTCTATGAGTTTTATAGTTTCAGGTCTCACTGTCAGGTCTTTAATCCATTTTGAGTTAATTTTTGTGAATGGCGATACTATGCTTTTATTCTTGATTTTGAAGATTTAAAAATATAATTTTATAGATTAAAAAACCCAGAAATTACCAAAATGTTTTACCTACTATTATATATAGCTTAAAAAAACATGGATATTAAAAAATTTTTTCTCTTTGCCTTATTTCAGTAGAGAAACACTAATTTCTGCCCTGAAAATGTAAAACTATCAGGTAGGTTTTAAAGAGGAAGAAAATATTTTCATTTTGTGGCCATTAAAATGTAAATAACTGCTACTAAAAAGAAGAGTCAGAAGTAAAACCCAGAAACAGCCCAAATGTGCAATAATAGGAAAAGGACTGAATAAATCACGGTACATTTATAAAATGGAATACAATGTCTCCATTAAAAATAATTCTCCAAAAGAAAATTAAATTTCATGGGAGAATATTTATAACATATTGTTTTATATATATATATACACACATATATATATAAAAGCACATTACAAAATAGTATCAATGATATAATCCTATTTTTGTGTTAAATACACACACCCATATACACAGACATAGACAAAAGACTGGGAGTGGAAGCATTATTTCACCAAAATGTTAGTAGTAATTGTTTCTTTGATATTTTTCTTCATTTTGCTTCTGTGTTTTTCTAATTTTTATATAATGAATATGGAAATTCCTATAATAAAAACTAATTTTAAAATATATATAGCTGTACACTTTTTTTTTTTTATTTTTTTTTGTGAGGAAGATCAGCCCTGAGCTAACATCCATGCTAATCCTCCTCTTTTTGCTGAGGAAGACTGGCTCTGAGCTAACATCTATTGCCAATCCTCCTCCTTTTTTTCCCCAAAGCCCCAGTAGATAGTTGTATGTCATAGTTGCACATCCTTCTAGTTGCTGTATGTGGGACGCGGCCTCAGCATGGCTGGAGAAGCAGTGCGCCGGGGTGCACCCGGGATCCAAACCCGGGCCACCACTAGCGGAGCATGCACACTCAACCGCTAAGCCATGGGGGCCGGCCCTGCTGTACACTTTTAAGACTATTGTGTTTTCATCTCTTAGTAACTGTCCCAGGGCCAGATGCAATTAAGCCTAGATCTAAATCTGCCTATCAATTTTGGTTCCCTAACTGTTGCCTAGTTTAAGAATGAGTTTCAGAAATTTATGCATCAGATATTTTTTCTATGAAAATGATTTTGAGCTCATAATCTCTGACTTCAAGACATCTTTGAGTTCTAACTTAGAGTACGTTTTGTTAAATTTCAGCATAGAAGCCCTGCATATACTTTACAAACATTGTTTTTTTTTAAATTTAACATAGTGAATATGATTTAAAAAAATCCCCTAAATCAGCTTGTGTAAAAATAAAGAATGGTAGCAAAAAACGTGAGTGCTTACAAGTATATTTTACATAATTGCAATGTCAGGGTAACTGACTCACCTGAGGTTTTGGTCCCAGAATTTTTGAATATAATGTATAGGACATAACATTGCAGGATGGATAGCCTATTCCAATCAGCACCACTGATGTGAGGAACTGAGCCAGATGGATCATGGGGGTGTAGAGGCACCAGGCTTGTTCAGTTGGGCAACCAGTTGGTTCTTCATTGTGATCTTCTCTTGGAGACTTCCAAAGAGTAATAATAATTTCCCCAAATGTGGTATTAGGGATTGAATTATTACGTAAATCTGAAAAAACAAAATTAGTACAATGCATTACCTGTCTATTTTAGATGAATAACAGTGGCTAATGTTATAGAATGATGTATGGCTATACCTTCCCACTGTATTTTGGGAAACTGATTTCCCCAAGGTAACAAGATAAAGAAGCCAACCCATACAACGATGAGTCCTCCCAGTAGAATAGCACGCTCGCCAATCCTGTTAAAGAACAGAAACTCTGTAATTTAAAAATGAAACATGTAACATAGTTTCATAATTTTTATAATTTTAAAAACTATAAATAAAATAATATCGTGATACTTTTAGTGATATAGCAATTAATATGAATGCTAAATATAATTTCCCACTAAAAGGAACCAGGACTCCTCTGAAAACTGGCTGATTTCAGGTCTGGGACAGAAAATGTATATGATGAGCCTGGACATCTTGTCATACCAGAGAGCACAGAAGCTATTAGTGACCACTAGGTCATGAAAAAAGGGCTCAGAGCCAATATGAAGAAGCTGGCCCAAAACACAACAATGTAACACCAAAACGAATAATAATGACAATGGACTGAAACACATAAAAATGTTACAATCTATGAATTTATACTATACTAAAACAAAATACTCTTGGTTACTTTCAGAGGATGTTAGGGAACGAACTCATTATTTTAAAAATCAATTAATAAAAGGAAAGAATCACCCTGTCTTTCCTATACAAACTATACCTCAGGATAACCAAATAGTTGGTAGGAGGAGGGTTCTCTTTATAGGAAGTATTCCAGGAAATAAAGAAATGACAGAATTAAAACACCAGCATTTTGCAATGATGTATTAATGAATTAATGGATCTAGGGAATGATCAATGGCCACTTACATCATAAAAAGAGATAAAACATGACATTTCTCCTGATATAAGCACATACCACCTATTAAGTATTCTTGCCAAAAAATTGAGCCTAAATCTCATCAAGCTTCTAGATCTAAGTACCAATTTTTGAGAAATATAGTAGACACGGGAAAATGTTAAAAAGAAAACCAAAAACATCCCAGGGATTCAATCAGCGAGATCCAAATGTGGGAAACTATAGGGCAAATATCCAGTTTATTCATTTTGTAAGGGGAAAAAAAGGAAAGAGAGAGATGGAAAAGAAACTTATAGATTAAAAGAGACTTAAGAGACTTAAGAGCCTGAGTCAAGTGAGTAAACTGTGAAACAAAATATAACAATTTAAAACAAAACAAATAAAAAAAAAATTTTGAGTCGGAGAAAATTTGAATACTGCCTGGATATTTGACGATATTTAGAAATCACTGTTAATTTTTTTTAGATGTGATAATGTTGTCATCATTAACTTTGAGAGATATATACTGAAATATTTATGCAAAACATGAAATGATGTCTGGGATCAGCTTCAAAATAATCCAGGTGTACGGGATAGGGAGTGTGGAGCAGATGGAGGTATAGATGAATCAAGATTGTCCCAGGGTTTATAATTGTTGAAGCTGGGTAACAGATATTAGAGACTCAATACATGATGCTCTCTACACCTTAATTTTCCATAATAAAAAGTGAAATATACAAACAAGACCAAAGGCTTCCTAAAACAAACCAAACAAACCCAAATGCTTCCCATCACCCTCAGAGTACCTACAAGGCTTCACATCTTTCCAATCTGATATTCTCCCATTGGCCATTTCTCTCATTCTGCTTTGGCCAAACGGGCCTTCCTGCTTGTTCCTTAAACATACAAAGCTCAGTCTTCTCGGGGAAGAAAGTTCCAGGCCACTGCATGGCTGTTTTCTGACTTCACTGAGATCTCTGCTTGGATGTACAGTAGTGTCCCCTTATCCGCAGGGGATACATTCCAAGACCTCCAGTGGATGCCTAAAACCGTGGATAGTACCGAACCCTATGTACACTATGTTTTTTCCTAAACATACATACCTACGATAAAGTATTATAAACTAGGCACAATAAGAGATTAACAACAATAACTTAGAATAGTTATAACAATATACTGTAATAAAAGTTATGAGAATGTGGTCTCTCAAAATATTGTACTGTACTCGCCCTTCTTCTTGTGATGATGTGAGATAATAAAACGCCTACGTGATGAGGTGAATGACGTAGGCATTATGATATAGTGTTAGGCTACTACTGACCTTCTAACTATACATCCAAAGGAGGATGATCTGCTTCCTCCTTCTACTCAGTTGACCACGGGTAATTGAAACCGCAGAAAACGAAACCACAGATAAGGGGGACAACCATAACTTTCTTTTCTTTTCTTTTTTTTTTTTGTGAGGAAGATCGGCCCTGAGCTAACATCTGCCAATCCTCCTCTTTTTGCTGAGGAAGACTGGCTCTGGGCTAACATCTATGCCCATCTTCCTCCACTTTATATGGGACGCCGCCACAGCATGGCCTGACAAGCGGTACGTTGGTGCGCGCCCAGGATCTGAACCTTCCAACCCTGGGCCACAGCGGAGCGCGCACACTTAACCACTTGCGCCACCAGGCGGGCCCTGTAACTTTCTTAAACATGCTCTCCTTGAGCTGTCTATCAAAATAACACTTCCCCTCTCTCCCAACCCTGCCCTTGCCACTCCTTATTCTCTTCCTCTGCTCTATTCTTCTTCATAGTACTTATCACTACCTGACTTCACATTTGTGCTTACTGGCTTCCCCCCCAACAGAATACAAGCTCTTTGAAGGTATGGAATTGGATAATCTGTAAGAAGTCCTATTAGCAGGACCACTCTACTTCTGTAGCAAGATGTAATGTATTTACCATCATTTAACTTTGAATAGGAATCTATGCCTATGTCACCTCTATATCTGTACTGTGGCCCCTCTACTTGGCTCTGTAAGGACAGGAATCTTCGTAGTATCTCTTATAGCCCCTAACACTTCGCACTGACAATATTTGTTAATTGATTTTATTTATTTTATTTTTTTTAAGATTTTATTTATTTATTTATTTTCCCCCCCAAAGACTCAGTAGATAATTGTATGTCACAGTTGCACATCCTTCTAGTTGCTGTACGTGGGAGGCGGCCTCAGCATGGCCGGAGAAGCAGCGCGTTGGTGCGCACCCGGGATCCGAACCCGGGCCGCCAGCAGCGGAGCACGTGCACTTAACCGCTAAGCCACGGGGCTGGCCCTGTTAATTGATTTTAGAACTTTATTAAAGTTCTAAAGTATTATTAAAGTATTGTAGGAATAATTAAATTGTTAGAACCGTCTAAATTCAACTAATGTCCCACCCCAGACAACATGAATGAACTTAATTTTATACAAGCATTCCTCCCAAAGTGTGTTCTTTACAGTTGTACTCTACAAAATGCTTCTTTAAAAGAGCGTTCTGTGGTCAAAGTTAGAAATAACTTTGAGAAATGCTATATACTGTACTTGTCATGATGGTGATATGGTACATATATATTGAAGATACAGAAGTTTTAGAGTAAAGAAGTCTGGTAATTTTAACCAGAATTTTCCAGACTTAAACACTGAATCTCTTTTGTTACATAACATATATGACCATATGGCAGAAAAATGTTTTATGAAGTAAATTCTAGAAATACTTAAATAAAACATAATATACAAAAGATACATTTGAAGACAATTATTCACTTTGTAAAGTATCTTGCTTTACCAAAGAACATGCCATGTGGTACAGAAATATCATGCTCCCTTAATAAATTTTAAATCTGTTTGCAAACATTCAAGGACTAAAACTAACACATAATGAAAGAAAAGCTTTAAATCATTTTACTAACACATTTATTTACGTTGCTAGCTCTGTTTCACATTTCACTTCAAAAAAATAGACTTGAAACAAAACCAAAGACATATAACTTACTTTTTGGAAAGTAATTTAATCCCCATGAAAATAATAACTGCCTCAACTCCAAGAGCAGCAAGTATTATTCCATCATATAATACAGCTTGTTCTCGAGTCCAGGCATACATATCCATTGTTAACGGAGTAACGATGCTAAGAAAAACAAAAAAGAAATTATTCTTATTTTATTTAAATCATAGTCATTGTTACTTAAAGTTGAAATAGAAGCTTTAATAATGATATCGACACATTCAAGAATTTGCATCCCTTTTAACAATGACGTCAGATCTACATAAACAAAAATTTTATCACCTTTTAGGCACATTTTGTCGTTACATGCATAAGCTACTGTTTCACTGTTTGTATTTTTATTTCTTAATATTTATTTTAATTATATAAGTAAAATAGCCACATTGCAAAAAATGTGAAAAACAGGAAGAGGAAACAAACCAACCATAACTCCTATCCTTCTAATATAACTCAATAATCATGGTTATATTTTGGTTTAAATTGGTCTCTTTTCAATGAAATAATGTTACTATTATTAAGTTATTAGAGCCTTCTGGAATTTTTTTTCTTTTACTCAGTCTTGTTCATCCCTAACTTTGAATGTATACATTTTTCTCCCTACTTCTGAATGTCTCTCTTCCTTTACATGACTATCTGTCTCCTTCCTTGCCAAGCTTCTTTTCCTACTTTCAATCTTCTTGTTTAACTGGCTACAAAATGGAATTGAAATAAATTTAAAATATTCATTCTTAAAAAAAAAAAGAACATCACCACTTTTAATTTTAAAATCAGATGAGCTGATGTGGAAAATAGTTTGATGGTTTCTCAATAAGTTAAACATGGAATTACCACATGATCCAGCAATCCCACTTCTGGGTATATACTCAAAAGAACTGAAAGCAGAGACTCAAACAGATACTTGTACACCAATGTTCATTGCAACATTATTAACAATAGCCAGAAGGCAGAAATAACCCAAATGTCCATTGACAGATAAATGGATAAACAAACCTGGTATATACGTACAATGGAATATTCTTCATCCATAAAAAATGGATGCATCCATGAAATTCTGACACATGCTACAACATGGATGAACTTGAAAACATCACGCTAAGTGAAATAAGCAAGACACAAAAGGACAAATGTTGCATGATCCCACCTATATGATCCCACTAGAATAGGCAAATTCATAGAGAGAGAAAGTAGAATAGAGGTTACCAGGGGCTGGGTGAGGGGTAATGAGGACTTATTGTTTAATTGGTGTAGAGCTCCTATTTGGGATGATGAAAAGGTTCTGGAACTGGATAGTGGTGATGGTTGCACAACATTGTGAATGTACTTAATGCTACTTAATTGTACAATTAAAAATAGTTAAAATGGCAAATTTTATGCTGTGTGTATTTTGTGACAATTTAAAAAATGCCCCCAAAATCAGATGAGCTGCAATTTTCATACAGCTCAATAATTTTAAAAATAAAAAAAATCAAGCAAATCTACATTTACTGGCATTAAAATGTTATAATGTATTGGTAAGGGAATACACGAAGTTGTCAAATGATAACATCACATATTCTATGTTGGTTTAATAGACATAGGCACACACACATGCACGCATACACATACCAATACTTTGTATAGAAAAAATGTTCAAAAAAACATACACTGGAGTATTAGAAGTGGTTACCTCCAGGGAAAGAAGTGGATGTGGAAATACTGTTGTAATGTTTGGAATATTTATAACAAGAATGTACTCTTTTTATAATATAATGGAAAGGCATTTTAAAAATAAAAAGCCATATGACAACTAAAGGTCAACAAAGTCAGCACAAGGCAGAGATTTTGTAATCTACATACTAGTTTTCAGGATCAGGGCTTACATAGAGTTAAAATTGCCAGACTGAATCCCATATGCATAACTAGGGATTTATATGGCTTACAGTTAATTAAATCATGACACTAAAGTTTTATAACTATATTTGTCATAAATCTCAGATGAAAGGGAGAAGACTAGTGAAATAGATTCCTTAAGGAAGTAAGATAAGGTAGTAAGATTACAGAGAATTAACTACATTCAAGTTAAAAAGCATAAAATTTATATACACTTTTTACATTATCACAAGAAAAATATGCCTTACATACAGTTTTTGAGAACATCTATATGCTGATTAAGTTGCAGTAAGAAATACAGGTTATTTACATAATCTGATTTAGATGAAGACAATAAACTTACGTTTCAAAAAGGGCAAAGATAAATAGAACCACAAAAAACAGAATGTTGGTAGACACAACAGCAACTTGATCAATATTTCCTTGGGGAATCTGAACTTCATCTGTATTTGCTAGAGTAAACAGGAGAAAAAATTATATTACCTACCCATCTAATCTTTCTTATGACACTAAAATAACGTAGAAATTATAATGTAACAAATTCTATGACTAAACATTGAAAATCATTTTTAGGCTTCAAAACAGTTTAAAAGTAACAGAATTTATATGACAGAAATAACTTTTAAATGGCATTTAAAAGTAAAATGAGGGCCGGCCCCATGGCTTAGCGGTTAAGTGTGCGCGCTCCACTGCTGGCGGCCCGGGTTCGGATCCCAGGCACGCACCGACGCACCGCTTCTCCGGCCATGCTGAGGCCGCGTCCCACATACAGCGACTAGAAGGATGTGCAACTATGACATACAACTATCTACTGGGGCTTTGGGGGAAAAAATAAATAAATAAATTAAAAAAAATTAAAAAAATAATTATAAAAGTAAAATGAATTTTCTTCCTAGGAGATACACTTTAGTTCTGTTATCTATAGGAAATACTCAGATATTCTATTTGATGTGTCTCAATCTAAAATAGGAATATATTTTATAGAATTCTATAAAATGATCTCATACGAAATACATTTGCTTTAAATTTCAGTTGCAGGGTTTTTTTCTACCTTCCTAAATCTTAAATTTACAATGACTTCACGAAGACCTCAAATAGTTTATTAAATCAGTTCTCAGTTCTATGATTCACTTCAATGGATATATATTTTGAATTTCAATGCCATGTGAAATTAGTAAATATCTCTATGTTATTACCACAATTTAAAAAAAATTCCTTATGTTATCATTTATATTTTTGCAAAGAACCACCAAAATTTGATGGTGGTTTTATAAATTAGGAGGGCAAAGTGAGTGTACTGACTTATCCTGAACTATTAGTTAAGCTACACACTCAACATAAGCTATTCCTGGTGTAATCGAGAAGTGTGAAGCCATATACGTCTACTTATATACATCCATCACGCTATTTTATAATTTACCCAATTTATTCAGGGTAAACCCAGTAAGTAATACAATGTTCATTTATGCTATCTTTAAGTGTAGCTATCTTTAAGGGTAGCAGTAACAGGGGGCAGGAGGTGACTTTCCTAAGACATAGTAAGTTTCTATAATTTTTTTCATAATAGTGCCTGCCTTTATATCTCAGGATGCTGGAGAAGGAGTTCCTCCTCTAATAATAAGAGACATTTGGGGGGCCGGCCCCGTGGCTTGGTGGTTAAGTGCGCGTGCTCCGCTGCTGGCAGCCCAGGTTCGGATCCCGGTGCACCGCTTATCCGGCCATGCTGAGGCCGCGTCCCACATACAGCAACTAGAAGGATGTGCAGCTATGACATACAACTATCTACTGGGGCTTTGGGGGAAAAAATAAATAAATAAAAGAGACATTTGGAAATAGTCTGCTATACTTGGGGGCAATTAAGTACGCTGGACACTCAACCTAGAGTTATGACCTCCCTTTGTAATCACACAAAGAAAACTGGTCACCTTTGTCCAGATCCTTTTCTGGGGAGACTCTGGTCCTTATGGGCCTTGTATTATTTTGGACAGACTTCCTTGATTCTCAATGACCACCCAGAAGCCAGTCTCTACTCCTTTCAGTCATATATCAACACTGGCCCAAGTTAGACTGGAGTTTGCTTCATATGCGGTTAGTTTCCTGCAGCGTCCACCCAGTGCTGGCTTCAGTGGGCAAGCTCAGAGATGTTGCATCCTACACTCTAGGGACTGACTAGGTATCCTAGTTACAAGAATTTTAAGAAAAGACTACATTAATATATTGATTAAAATACTATGTAATTGGAAATTATCCTATCTCATGATAACATCTTTAATAATAGGAAAATAACTGATAGATTTTATCTAAACATTTACTGAAATTTAAAAATCATTTTTGTTTTATAAAAATTATTTTGAAGTACCTAGAAATCTTAAGAAAGAAAATAGATCTCTCCTTTCTAAACTCTCATTTGTGCTTTAGAACAGTGCTGTCCAGTAGAACTCGGACATGATGGAAATGTTCTTTCTCTGTGCTGTCCAATACAATTAGCCACTAGCTACATAGACCCATAATTGAGCACTTGAAATGTAGCTAGTGTGACTGAAGAATTTCTTAAACGTAATTTAATTTAAATAGCTAAATGTGGCTAGTAGCTACCATATTGTATAGTTCTAGACCTTTGCTACTCAAAGTGTGACTTGTCGACCAGCAGCATCAGCTCACACAGTAGATTGTTATAAATGTAGATTCTCAGAATCTCACTAGGTTTGCCAGATTTAGTGAATAAAAATACAAGATACTCAGTTAAAATTGAATCTGAGATAAATAATAACTTTAAGCATGTTCCATGCAATATTTGAAATTTAAGCATGAGAATGTTCCATGAAATATTTGAGACATATTTACACAAAAAATTTATTTGTTGTTTATCTGAAATACAAATTTAATGGGCTGGGACATATTTATACTAAAAAATTATTAAAATTTATGGGGCTGGCCCAGTGGCATAATGGTTAAGTTCGTGTGCTCCGCTTCGGTGGCCAGGGGTTTGCAGGTTTGGATCCCAGGTGCTGACCTGTGCACTGCTCATCAAGCCGTGCTGTGGCGGCATCCCATATACAAAATAGAGGAAGACTGCCACAGATGTTAGCTCAGCAACAACCCTCCTCAACCAAAAAGAGGAAGATTGGCAACAGATGTTATCTCAGGACCAGTCTCCCCCACGAAAAAAAAGAAAATTATTAAAATTTAACTCGGCATCCTGTATTTTATCTGGTAGCCCTACTTCGGCCTCACCCCAGGCCTACTCAATCAGAATCTGCATTTTAACAAGGTTCCCAGGCGCTTCCTAAGCACATTAAAGTCAATAAGTACTGATCAATATTGTTATCTCCTTCCAACTCCTGAAAGATTTTGCTTCTTACACATCTTCTCTTTCTCAGCACCTCAACCTCGCCCTCTTTCATTTGCTCATTCCCTTTACCTGATAGGTCCTTTAAGCTGGCATCCTATTTTTCACTGTTAAAAAAAAGTAGCTTATACCCACTGCTGGCCTTCCTTCTTTCTTCCTCACCTTACTTTCCTTCCTTTCTTCCATTTCTCATTTTGAAAAATTTCAAACATATCATCATATATCCATGCCCGAGGTTCAACAATATTTGCCACACTTGATTCATCTACCCCTTCCTTTCCTCCTTTCTCTCGCTCTTTGTTGCTGTAGTGTTTTTCACTGGGTGACTTCAAAATTTGTATCTCTAGCTTTGATCTCTACTGCCAAAATTAGAAATGCCTCTGAAATCTTTTAGTGGTTCTAGTGTAGCAGTATATTCAGCTTGATCCAAGTTGAAATCATCTTATCTTTCACCCAATCTCCCTTCCTAAATTCTTGTTCTCTCCCATTCTTTCAATTATCTAGAATCAAAATGTGGCAGACATCTTCAACAATTCCCTCTAATCCTTAATATTCCCTATTCAATCTGTCAAGAATCTTGATTTTTTTTTCCTTCAAAAACTCATATCTATCCCTTCTCCATTCTCAGTTGCTGCCCTAGTTCAGGCCTGCACACATCTGGATTAGCCTCACATGGAATCTATTGTCATACTTCTCCTTTGTTGAAAAACTTACTATAGCTCCTCACCACTCTGCCCTCCACCCTACTACTATTTTTTTTTTTTTTTTGTGAGGAAGATTAGCCCTGAGCTAACATCCATGCCAATCCTCCTCTTTTTGCTGAGGAAGATCGGCCCTGAGCTAACATCTATCGCCAATCCTCCTCCTTTTTTTTCTCCCCTTTTTCTCCCCAAAGCCCCAGTAGATAGTTGTACGTTATAGTTGCACATCCTGCTAGTTATTGTATGTGGGATGCCACCTCAGCATGGCCGGATAAGCGGTGGGTCAGTGCGCGCCGAGGATCTGAACCTGGGCCGCCAGTAGTGGAGTGCGTGCACTTAACCGCTAAGCCACGGGGCCGGCTCCTCCACCCTACTACTTTTAACTTAACCTTCCACTAGTGTTGTTGTGGAAATTAAATAAAATGGCTATGAAAGTACTTGGTAAAATAACACTGTGTCTTTTCCAAAACTTTATAAACTCCTTGAGGGCAAGGACTGAGGTTCATTCTTTTATGGGGGGGGACACTCCCCAAGGAGGACATAATTAGTAATTTAGTAAAATATACCTACTAACCAGATTGGGTACCCATTTATGAGTCAGAGAAAGATCTAAAGGATGATAATGTACATCTGTAGAGTATACCAAAAGAATAAAAATACAAAAGAGAAACCATACCTAATCCCACGATTAAGGGAGCAAAGAACTGCTTGAAACAGACACATTTGGTAGCAAAGTTACTGAAATCATCCCAAAGATATCAAGGGTTTTAGGATATTGGTTCTGTGAAAACAAGACTAAGTGATTTTTAGCAATGGTTTTAACTTTGCCAATCGTAAACACCAAATAACTGATATGGGTATGCCATTTTTTTAAATCAATTTACGTAACTTGCAACGTTCAAGATCTTCCCCAATCACCCATTGTATTGTCCTCAGAAGCAAAATCCAAGTAAATACCAAACAGATAGAACCATTAGAAGCACTCTGATAATGCAATAGTATTTTAGTCAAACAAGTTAATAGTACCTTCTTCAAAATTAATACTTTTACACTGTCGTCCTGAGTCATCCACATGGTGTTCTCTTAAAAAGAAAAACATATATTGTATCCATGAAAAGTTTAGTATAATAGAAAAGTGGTTTAAATTTATTACTAGCCTTCTATTCTTTCACATTCTGATATAGTTTCTTTTACTGGCTTCAGAGTAATGAAATTATTACCAATGAGATACAACCAATAAAATTAAAAAGATACAAGTTACAATTCTTATTAGCATAGAAAATGAAAAGAAATACTCATTTCATTCAAAAGCACACATGATCTACCTTAATCAGCATTTGAAGTTTTCCAGTGATTTTAACATTAGTTATAAATGTTTTTTGGACTCTTAGATAAAGCACTCTAAAGAAATACAAAGTAACAAAACTTCTCTAGTTTGAGAAAATTTCTTCTAATATAAAAGATAAGAGATATACATTACAAGTAACATTTGTATTTAAGGTTGATACTAATCATTAATCTACTTAAAATGTTGCTTCATGCCATCTCCCTACTTAGAAACCTATAGTTAGTAAATCACGATCAAACCTTGAATCTTCAAAGACCCTATAATCTGTTCTCATTTACCAGCTTGTCTATTATTTTAGTTGCAATATGCATTAATTGATCAAAAAATATGAACACAACTACAGTCATCAAAAACCAAATAAAGATTTCATAGGAATAATTACCCTCCAATAATAATAATGCTTATTTAATTTCACAATCTACAAAATTTCACAATCTACAAAAGTAGTTGTATCATTTCTATCTAATTACCTTAATATAGCAAGGATCAGAACAATATTTAAAATTCCCAGGAAGGCGCCAAGTAAAACTGGTGCAGTGTACATGTTTATCTGCAGCTTAAGAGTATCCCATGTCACACCCTTTTCTCCAATGAGTGCAAAACAAGTCTGAAAAACTTATTAAAATAAAATGTATACAGATGAATTATCATATGGGAGGCACAGGCTTAAAAAAATGTGAAAGACATTTACCACAAAATTGGAAGTAACATTATGGAATCATCCATCTACATCATGCATCTCAATGGGGATGAGAAAATTGGTTTGGAGGAGGAGGTGAAAATTTTACTCTTTTTCCATATAAAGCCAGAATATGCATACAATACTTAAAAGATATACAATAGATCTGTGGTATTAAAATTTCATGGGATGGAGTGATTAGGAAAAAAAAATATCTAAAGAGGCTCCTTATGGGAACAATAATGAAAAGGTTGAGAAACACTGATGTACATGCATTCACAAAGAACTATATCTAAAGTAACTTGTCATTATTTTCCTTTTTTAAAAAAAATCTAGGGCCGGCCCCGTGGCTTAGCGGTTAAGTGCGCGCGCTCCGCTGCTGGCGGCCGGGGTTTGATCCAGGGCGCGCACCGACGCACTGCTTCTCCGGCCATGCTGAGGCCGCGTCCCACATACAGCAACTAGAAGGATGTGCAGCTATGACCTACAACTATCTGCTGGGGCTTTGGGGAAAAAAATAAATAAATAAAATTTAAAATAAAAAATAAATAAATAAATAATAAATAAAAAAAATCTCCATGGGAAATTTAAATTATACAATTTCTAACATAAATAAATTATAAAGGTTTAATCAATTTCATTATAAGAAAGAAAATGTCACATTTTTAGTCAATATTTTAAATATTACTGTGTATATGGTATTATATATTATGGTATCATAATATATACTATATATTATGGTATATATACGATATATAATATATATAATATACTATATACATGTATATAGTATATATTATGGTATTATAAATTACATATATTTAATATTTTAAATATAGATTTGTGGCAAAAATTGGATTGGAAGAGTACTGGTTTGCTCTCTGGATTTAGACTCTATATCTGGCTCTTAATTTACCTGTAAGCTTAGAGTGAGGATTAAGTTTGATACAGCACCTAAAGCACTTAGAACAGTGTCTAGTATGTAGTAAGCACTCAGTAAATGTTAGAGCTTGTTGATCTGGTCATTAATACTGGAAAAGTCATCTAATCTTTTCAGCGCTACATTTACTCATCTATAATACAAAATGTTTAAATGAGATAACATTCCAAATGCTTTTTAGGCGTTAGTTTCTGCGAACCTAAGTTTATTCCAGGTACTGTGCTAGACACTGAGGGTGGAGTGGTAAATAAAAAAGACCCAGACTATGTCCTTGGGTATTTTATGTTTGGTAGTAGGTTCAATTATTCTACATCTGTGCTTATATTTTACCCCAGAATACTAAACTACAATATTAGATTGTAGTGAATGAAGAATTAGATTCTCTTCTGTTGAGTCTTTTCTTGGCTAAACAGAAGGAAGTAACAGAAACCGGGGTGAGCGTGGGGTATTGAAGAAGCAAATTGAGTTGGAGTCAAACTGCTGATACTCATAACTGCAACATCCAAAGCATGAGCCAATTATGTTTTTTCAATGTTATTCTAATAAAAATTACTAATTTCTCTACTCAGTAAAAAATTAATTGGCCTTGGGGAAGTATTAATCTCATTGCTATTTTTTTATACTCAGCAAAAGGATGGAAGCTTTGGAAGAGGAAGAAAATAGTAAGTCTTTTTAAAACACTTTCATTTTCTTCAACTTTAGAAAAGTCTTAAAGGTATGGGCAAAGAGCAAAAGGGTAAAGAACCTCTTATAACTTTCCTCATATCCTTCAGTTGAAAAGATTTTGTTTCTTTTTTTTTTTTTTTTAAAGATTTTATTTATTTTATTTTTTCCCCCCAAAGCCCCAGTAGATAGTTGTATGTCATAGCTGCACATCCTTCTAGTTGCTGTATGTGGGACTCGGCCTCAGGATGGACGGAGAAGTGGTGCCTCAATGCGCACCCGGGATCCGAACCCGGGCCACCAGCATTGCAGCGCGCGCACTTAACCACCAAGCCACAGGGCCGGCCCAGATTTTGTTTCTAATAAAGGAAAAAGAAAGCAAACTCTTGCAGAGATGTCAAGCTAAATGATTATTTCACAGAACATATACTTTGGAGTCAGATAGAATTAGGGTGAACCTCAATTTCCCATTTACTATCTGGCTGACCTTGGATAATTTACTTAGATTCTCTATGCCTTGGTGTCCTAATCTGTAAAATCAGACTCACAGCACTTAATTTACAGGACAAGAGTTAACATATATAAAGAGCCTAGCCTTACTGCTGGATCAAAAATATTAGTTTCCCTCCCTTTCCCTTTAGCTATGAGGTTTTATACGTGGATTTCATTTAACACTTGAACCTTAAAAGTTTTCTCAATTCAAATTCAAGCAATGACAAGTGAAGAATACCTACCTGGACCTAGAATAAAACCTAATGCTTGACACGCACTTGTGTTTGCCATGGAACCTGTTCTTTCCTGAAGGGAAGTAGCACCAGCAATATATGATCTAACAACAGCTACATTTCCTAAGAAAAGACAGAATAATCCAAAGTAAAAGAAAATATCCTTCAGTTTATAAAACTCAACTTAATTTGGCATTATACAGAAGAAATATTAATCTATAGTATAGTCACTGCTTTCTCTTTATGATCATACAAAGCATGTATATGGAGCAAATGTATCAATTAATGGAAAATATTACTTTTAGTAATATGAAAACACAAAGATTTGAATGAATGAAAAAATGGCATTACAGTAATGTTAAACTTTTTTTCATCATTAAATATTGAGAAAGCACTGAGTGAATGGCATACTCCTGATTGCTACAACTATTTTTAAAAGAAAGATGTCACAAACTCTGCATGCTTAGATGTGTAATGTAAGAAACAGAAAAATAACCCCACTAATAATTCAACTTAAAACAATTTAATGAGCACTTCTTACATTCAAGAGACTCCGTTAGGGGCCACAGAATATTTTAAAAAGAGGTCATAAACTGTCTGTAATTACAAAAAGTTTACTATCTGGTGGGTGATAAAGGATGAAAACAAAACAGTATATAAGCAAACAAACAAAACAGCAAAACAGTATACAAGCCAGTGCCAGAGACATGTCGGAGAAGGGAAAGACCCATTAAGGGGTAGGGTAGCCTAAGAAAGCTTCATGGTTCATGGAAGATATGGAACTTGAACTGAATCTTGAAGGATGAAGAATGATGGGGACAGAACAGAGAAACCATAGCTAATGGGAACATCATGAGCTAAGGCGAAATGATAGGAAAGGTATCTGTCTGCCTGCAATGAGAGATCTGTATGTTGAACTGTGGGATGTGAGACTGAGAAGGGGTAACACCAGGTGAGAGAGGGCCATAAATGTCAGGATGAATGTGAATCCGACACAACCAAACATATACATATATACATATTACCTGCTCCAAATCCCACCAATCCACGAGCAACCAACATGTAGTATTTATTATGAGAAGCTGGGAGGTGGACATACGCATAGAGGCAGTTGGCTGCCACCGAAATGAAGATGGAGACAATAAGAGGCTCTTTTCTTGGTCTATAATTAGACCACAAACCAAATAGAGGTGAAGCTACCATTTGGCCAAGACTAAACGAAGCAATAACCCAGCCCAAAAAACTTGCATCAGCTGTCTGATCAATCTGCAGAAAAAAGTACAATGCTTTAAGAATTATTATCCAAGAAAAGTAAAGTGTAAAACCTAAATACATTTTCCTGACCACATAACACTTCCTGTTTAAAAAAATAAAAACGATAATTCTAACGTATAAGTTTTGTAACACTCTTACTTACAGTAACTTCTGACATTACAATTAAATGTACTACTAATTCACTATACATAAGGAAAAATGCTTGGAAAGCTTCATCTTTTAGAATGATTATGGAAATTTCTGGTTCATAAAAATCTTGTTAAAAGGATTATTACATTATTAAATATAACAATAACATCATAAAAAATAATATGCCATCCTTTAATTCTTATAAAGTCAATACAACTATTTAGACTTATGCTACTCCATAAGCTAAGCGGCCATTAGCATGGTAAATCATTTTTTTTTAAACTGAGCACAATAGTCAAAAGCTTAAAGAAGACAATAAAACCACAAAAGCTGAATTAAACCTATTACCAATTTTTCCTTTCAACGTAGACAATTCAGGATTCTACCACTTAAAGAGGGTTTATATATCATGATCAACGTCGAGGGGAGAACCAAATAATTAAAATTCAGAAAATGAAATATTTTCAAAAAATAGAAAATTTTAGCTTACAAAAGAGACTATGGAATAAATCAACAGATTATTTTTTTTAAATATGGTAGGCTATATAGTAATTTGGAAAAATAAGAACCATTAAATTTTAGGGAATAAGTTTAAACATATACAGCTTAAGTGGTAGAACAACTTAATAAGGAAAACCATGGCCTTTTCTAAAGATATTTTTATTTTATTTTATTTTATAATTTTATTTATTTATTTTCCCCCCAAAGCCCCAGGAGATAGTTGTATGTCATAGCTGCACATCCTGCTAGTTGCTGTATGTAGGACGCGGCCTCAGCATGGCTGGACAACTGGTGCGTCAGTGCGCGCCCAGGATCCGAACCCGGGCCGCCAGTAGCGAAGAGCACGCACTTAACCGCTAAGCCACAGGGCCGGCCCTAAAGATATTTTTAAATAGCTTAAAATGGAAACACTTAGGTAGATTTTTGTTTGTGGGGGATGAGAAATAAGAGTGAATGAGTATAACGATATATAGTATTTATAGTTCTAGCCTTAAAAATATCTCTTATTTTAGGCACTCTGGTTGTTATTTTCTACCTGGATTACCTTTAGCTCCTTTTGTCCTCTCTAGTAAAATATAAAATAACTTCATGTCATATAAATTTTAGAATTAATTTTCAAAAAAGCAACGAAAACTCAATTTTAATGTTAAAAGTGTAGTGGTCTAAAAGCAAAAGGACGGAAGCGTCTTTCCAAGACATCAGCCGATCACAGTCAAGTATCCATCTAATGGACAGAAGTGAGCTGACTCTTGGGGGTGGCTCTAACAATAGTAACAATATTTGCTGAAGATCACTGGAAACTTTTATTTTAATTGGACACTATTCTTTACAGTGACTGAAAAACTGGAATCTGCTAGAATTCTGCTAGAATTATAACAGGAAGGTAAAATAGTTTGAGAGGAAAGTAAAATAGTGTAGGTTCTACACTACAACAGAAGGTGTCACTTCAGTAACTGAACTGTTACCTGTGCTCGTGTGTGTTTCTCTCTCTCTTACAGTAATAACAGCATCTCATTTCTGTCCTCTGGCCATCTCTGATGATCTCTATCATATTGTTTTCAGAATAAAATCTAAACTGCTCATTATGAAAAACTAGCTCACAAGCTGGCCACTGTCTCTCCTCTCTAACCTCATCTCTCTGCATGCTCCCTCCCCCCAATTCTAACTTCCAGCCATGTAGAACTGTTTGAAGTTTCCAAAATGAGCCAAGCTCTGCCTCTAGGCCTTTGCACAGGCTCCTCTACTGCCCCTTCCACCAGCAATGCCTTCCCAACCTCTGACTCCCTGCTCCACCTTTCCTTCAGGAGACCAGCTTCTGCAGGCCTTCAAAATTCAGCTCAGGTGTACCTGATTTTGGAAAGTCTACCAGGATCTCTTTAGTCTGGATCAGAAACATTCCCCTCACCCCCATGTCTATCTATCTGTGTCTGTCTGTGTGTCTGTCTCTCTCTCTCTCACACACATACACACCATACTTTTAGACCTTTACACACTTACATTGTATGGTAATTATCTGTAAAATTGTTTAGTTTTGCACACTTCCGTGAAAATTGGAGCTATGTGGTCTCTAAAAAAAAAAACCCCAAAGTGCATGGTATTGAATTTCAAAACATTCTTCTCTAAACATGTTAATAATATAGACAAAGTCAAAGTTCTAGAAATCTTAATGCTTTGCCATGGGAGCTAAGATGAATGTGGGTGTTGCAAGCCTCCTCATCTATTTACTTATAGATTATTGCTTATTCCTTCAATTACTGTGCTAGGCAATAAGGATACAAAGATGAGTAAACATAGTTCCTGCCATCAGGGAGTTTCCAAACCAGGTTCTATTATCTGGTTCTGAAAAATTCTGTATTTGAGTAGCTTGGGGAAAAAAATAGCATGCTTTAATTCTTTATCTGTCAAACGAGGGTAACTTCACAGAGTTATGAGAATTATTTCAGCCAAAACATATATAGGGCCATGTCAGCATACAGTATGTACTCAATGAATGTTACCTATACAATATAAAAGCTAATATTTCTTAGTATTTTATTTTTACTAATACATCAGTTTTATTATAACTCATGCATGAGTATTCCCACTATCTCCCTGGGGCAATAGAATAACCTATTATTCCAATTCAACATCTGGGCTTTAGAATATGAGTCTTCCTGGAAATCAACCCCTCTGGGCAACACAGCCTAAGGAATCACTCGGCTCATGGCTGTCTACCAGCCGGGCCAGAGTACAATTCAGAGATTCAAGTAGTGTGAAATTTCTTTCAGATAGCCAATTTACTGTTTTGTATTCTTTTTTTAGCCTAGTTTTTATCTTTCTCACAGATGACTTTTAAGCTAAGTAATATCTGGCAACATATTATCACAAAAGAGACAGTAGCCTTAAATTAAGAATTACAAGTTTTAAGGTAGTAGATAACATAGCACTGTGGTCAAGAGTCAGATTTTGGTTTCAGATAGGTGTGGCTCTGCCATTTTCTAGCTGCGTGACATTGGGCAAGCTACCTAACTTCTCTGAGTCTGAGTTTCTTCACCTGTCAAACAGGAGTGATAATAACCACCTCACAGGGTTGTTATGAAGACCAGAAGATAACTGAGGCAAAAAGGCTTAGTACTGTGCCTGGCACACAGTGAGTTCTCAATATTATTATGAAATAACTTGAGAAAATTAATTGATAAGTTTTTTGGTAACAATGTTAATTTGTATTGCCAAAGAACTAGTTATAAGTTGATATACTCAATAAATTTACCTTTGAAGAGCTTTCAAATATCTGGAGAAAGGAGTGTACCTTTTCAAAATTCAACATATTGTGCTGAGTAGACTTAATTATTGCAAACACTTTTCTTTTGAGAAGTTTGAAGTTAGAGTAGATAGAAGAACCACAGAAATCAAAAGAGTTTTGATAGATGGAAATATTTTTTAGCAAGGAAGATGTTGCTCTAGAATTGTTAAATATTCTGTTCCAATTCCAATAACTTTGCCAGTATGGAAAGAATTTTTGGTGTCATGGGTAATAATTTCATGTAATATAATTTTTTAAATTAATTTTCAAAATAGCAATGAAAATGTGGCACTAAATCAGTAAAAAGTGAAATTTGTATTTATCTTCTTAAATTCCTTTTAAAATTTCTTTCAGATATTTTAAAAGATAGCATTTTCAAAAATTTGAGAATTCATAAAAACTAAAAAATATAAAATGAAATATAAAATGTCAATAAACTTCTTCTATCATAGGTATTATTTTAATCCCTAAATATCCATCAAATATGTCTAGCATTTTTGTTGAAACCATCTGACCATCCTAACAATCTAGTAGGGAAGTTAAGTAAACTCTCCATAAACACACTGTTACAACACTCAATGATAGGTGTTAATGATAAAGGGATATGGAAGCACGTAGGAAAACCCTCTAATCGAAACTGGGGTGAGGGACAGTCAAAGGAGGCTTTTCAGAGGAGGTGACATTGGAGCAAAGCCTTGAAGAATGTATAAAAGATAGGAAGGAGGGAGAAAGGGAAGGACAGAGGAAAGGAGAGATGGAGGGAGGGAAAGCATTCCAGAAAAAAAGGAGGAAAGTGTGTAAACACCTGAGGAGCCTAGGTTCATCCAAGAAGATATGTCTAATAAATTGCTGGCCACAGATCTCATACGGGCCAAGGCTTAGGATATAGGCTAAAATGCGCACACACACACCAACTTCTGGGGAAAACCAACAAATACGGAGCAAGCTGATAAAGAAAAATACACCAAAGAATTGAAGAACAAATCGAGTTAAGAGCAAAGCCAGGACAGAGAAACGTCACGGAAGCTAAGATAGAGTTTCAACAAGTAGGAAGAGGACAACAATGTCAACGCTACAAAAATGTCACCTAAAGTAAGGACTGAAAAGTATCTAACTGGTTAGCAGTTATGTTACTAGAGACCTAAACAAGAGCAGTTTCAGGGCAGCAGAGGAGTTAATCAGATTGTAGCAGGTTAAGGAGTGAATAGGAGGTTAGGAAGCACAGAGAAACTCCTTCAAGAACCTTAACTGAAACACTGTTGTAGATAAATTATGCCTCCAACTTAAATAGTGATTTTTAGTAAGTTCATTCCTGGAGATGTAAAATAGAACTGACAGATATTTACACTATGTTATACGTGAAATATATATATTTTTTAAAAAGATAGAACTGACAGGACTTGACGATCAATTGATGTCAGGGTACTGACCAAACTTGCATCTTCCTGTCACCCCCTCCTCCCCATCTAGTAACCACAACATCCAAATACATATGACGTATTATCTATTCTTTTCACAATGTCACCTGACAACCCAAATTAATTCTATGGGAAAGCATGAAATTATTTCATAGAAATATCATTTGTACATTTTGAGAATTCAGACTATATCTAGTTTAGTTTCCTTTTTATTAGGGAGGGACTATGGATGGGATGTGAACGTGGCTAATAAGTAGGCGACCACACATCTACATCTACAGCTACCTGGGACTGTCTGGGTATGATCTTATTTTCCTGGTATGGCACTGCTTTCTTCAAGAGTGGTCCGGTTTGTGCAATAAAGCATATGGTCACCTTACTCACAATCCTCTTTTGAAGAATTATTATCTCAAGTTATTTTAGTAAAGATTAAATCATAGAATACCAAAGAGACTCTCTAGAAAACTCTTAAGTACATAAGAGTTACTACTACAGCTACTTAAGAGAAGAATAGATTGAAGTGTACAAACCTTTTGGAGATATGGCCATATTGACATTATCACAATAGAAAATCCTGTAAAGAGGCAAACTCTGTTATTTATACTTACAATAATTTCCCCACTATTTATAGACACAAGTTTTTGAAATATAGCATAGATTTTAAAATACCATTCTGAATTTACAAATTTATGCCCACAAATATCTAATTTATCAAGCAATAGGGTTTTATTTATTAGAAGGAAAATATTAAAGGCTTGAAAAGAATGTATATTATAGTCCCTGGCCATAATTAATGTAATAAAAGCAGAGGACCTATTTCTCCTTACTCACACACTTTTACTGTAAAGGGAAATTACTGAAAGCTTTAAGTTTTTATAGCAAAATGAATGGAGGAAAGGCCACTTTGTTACAGAGGAAGTGCTAGACTTCTAATCTGTGTTGTATGGGAGAGATAATTGACTGTAGGGAAGACTAGGAAGAAGGAAAACGATCATCTAAAGTGGGCAGTGGCTTTAAGGAACGAGGATATTTCAGATGGCCATAACTTAAAAGAAAATTCATTATCTCTGCTAGCCTTTATTGCTTGAGAACTGTAATGATAAACTCCAATGCTATTTGTCAATTTTAAATGTTAGGCACATCCAATCAAAATTCTACAAAAGCTATTTTTTTAAAAACTGCTTCATTAAGATATAATTCACATACCATAAAATTTACCCATTTAAAGTGTACAATTCAATGGTTTTTAGTATAATCACAGATATGCACAACCATCACCACAGTCAATTTTAGAACATTTTAGTCACCTCGAAAAGAAACCCTGGACCTTTAGCTATTACTCTGCTACCCTCCATCCTACCCCCCAACAGCCCTAAGCAAACACTAATCTACTTTCTGTCTCTATAGATTTTCCTATTCTGGACTTTCATACGAATATACTCATATAATATATGGTCTTTTGTGTCCGGTTTCTTTCTTAGCATAATGTTTTCAAGGTTCATCCATGCTGTATCAGTACAAGCACTTCGTTTCTTTCATAATTAAATTATTTTTAAAAATAGGCTTTATTACTTGATTTTAATGTATTTTTGAATTGATATTGATTTTGATGAAAAGAGACTTGAAAGAGTCAACTAATATTCGAAATCAAGGTTACAATTTCACAATCAAGAAACTTGTAAACAGGTAAAACGTTTAACATGTCAATTAAAAACTAAAGTTAAAATAATTTTCTCTTTTACTGTTAAATTTGAAATTATTACTTATAATTTTAGATAACTGAGTACTAAAAATTAAAAGTGTCTTAAATGAAAAAACAATCTATTGCAGAGATTGCTATCTAAACAACATTCATTTGCCTCCTTCCTCCTTCCTGATAGAATCCCAATTTTATTCAGGTATCTATTACTCCTCCACAAAGCCACAGGCTTTAGGGGAAACTGTTTCCACCCCAAATTCCAGAGGATAAATCCTGATTAGTCTAAAAAATTCAACTGGGGTAATCCCAGCATCCTAGCTGATGATGGTTTATAGATTGACAGGTAGCCCAGTTCTGACCAGTGAGAAGTGAGGGGAGGTCTACTTTGGGACCTCTGGGAAAGGACACTTCACCTCTGTGGAGATTTAAAAAAAAAAAAAGTCCCTTTCAATCAATAAAAATGATCGCGAATGGATATGACACCTGAAACTGCTGCTGCAACCTTGCTGCAGCCTTTTTTTTTTAACCAGAAAAGTTATTGGAAAGCAAAGCCAAAGCCCCAGTGAACTCCACCTGGAGTTGTTTGACAATGGATCTAATAAGAAAAACTAAAGTACCATTTAACCAAATTTGAATCAACATTTTTTTCTGATATCTGTAGAAGGCATCCTAATAGATACACAATCCAAGATGAAACTGTATTACAAAGAATTGTTGAAAATATCCTTTATTTTGTACTTTTCTTTAGTTTTAGCTTTATTTAAAACGTATTTTTGGGCCAGCCCTGTGGCATAGTGGCTAAGCTCATGTGCTCTACTTCCGCAGCCCGGGGTTCGCCGATTCGGATCCCAGGCACGGACCTACGCACCGCTCAAAAAGCCATGGTGTGGTGGCGTCCCACATATAAAGTAGAGGAAGATGGCAATGGATGTTAGCTCAGGGCCAATCTTCCTCAATAACAACAACAACAAAAAAGTTAAAATGTATTTTCAGTGTTGAATCACAAACAAGACTAGCAAGTGAGAGAGAAGAAGGTGGTGACTGACGTAAATAGAAAAGATATGGAAAACAAGTTAGTAAAATGACCTTCACTAAATCCATCTCAGCGAAAGAAATCACTTGTAAAACTAACACCTACAGACTTAGAGAGTCTAAGCTTGGAAAAAAAATAGATTCCCTAAAACTCTCCTTTAAAAATGATCACAGTATTCCCAATGACATTCTTCGCAGAAATAGAACAAAGAATCCTAAAATTCATATGGGGCAACAAAAGACCCCAAATAGCCAAAGCAGTCCTGAGAAAAGAGAACAAAGCTGGAGGCATCACAAAACCTGACTTCAAAACATACTACAAAGCGATAGTAATCAAAACAGCATGATACTGGTACAAAAACAGACACACAGATCAATGGAACAGAATTGAAACCCCAGAAATAAATCCACACATCTACGGGCAGCTAATCTTCAACAAAAGAGCAAAGAACATACAATGGAGAATGGAAAGTCTCTTCCATATATGGTGCTGGGAAAACTGGACAGCCACTTGCAAAAGAATGAAAGTAGACCATCTGCTTTCGCCATACACAAAAATTAACTCAAAATAGATCAAAGACCTGAAGATGAGACCTGAAACTATAAAACTCCTGGAAATGTAGGCAGTACACTATTTGTCGTTGGTCATAAAGGGATATTCTTGAATTCCATGTGTACTCGGACAAGGGAAACAAAAGAAAAAATAAACAAGTGAGACTTCATCAGACTAAAGAGCTTCCGCAAGGCAAACAAAACCAGGATCAAAATGAAAAGACAACCCACCAGCTGGGAGAAAATATTTGCAAACCACATAGCCGACAAGGGGTTAATCTCCGTAAATATATAAAGAACTCACACATCTGAACAACAAAAAAACAAATAACCCAATCAAAAAATGGGCAGAGGATATGAACAGACATTTTTCCAAGGAAGATATACAGATGGCCAATAGGCATATGAAAAGATGTTCAACATCACTAATCATCAGGGAAATGCAAATCAAAACTACACTAAGGTATCACCTTACACCCGTGAGAATGGCTATAATCACCAAGACAAAAAATAACAAATGGTGGAGAGGATGTGGAGAAAAGGGAACCCTGACTCACTGCTAGTAGGAATGCAAACTGGTGCAGCCTCTACGGAAAACAGTATGGAGATACCTCAAAAAATTAAAAATAGGGGCTGGCCCCGTGGCATAGTGGTTAAGTGCGCGTGCTCTGCTGCTGGCTGTCCGGGTTCGGATCTCGGGCATGCACCGACACACTGCTTGTCAGGCCATGCTGTGGCGGCGTCCCATATAAAGTGGAGGAAGATAGGCATGGATGTTAGCTCTGGACCAGTCTTCCTCAGCAAAAAAGAGGAGGATTGGCATGGATGTTAGCTCAGGGCTGATCTTCCTCACACACACACACTAAATAAATAAATAAATAAATTGAAAAAGAAAATTAAAAATAGAAATACCTTTTGATCCAGCTATTCTACTTCTGAGTATTTATCCAAAGAACTTGAAATCAACAATCCAAAGAGGCTTATGCACCCCTATGTTCATTGTAGCATTATTCACTATAGCCAAGACGTGGAAGCAACCCACGTGTCCCTCAACAGATGATTGGATAAAGAAGATGTGGTATATATATATACAATGGAATACTACTCAGACATAAAAAAAGACAAAATCGTCCCATTTGCAACAACATGGATGGACCTAGAGGGTATTATGTTAAGCAAAATAAGCCAGACAGAGAAAGACAAACACCGTATGACCTCTCTCATATGTGGAATATAAACTAACACATGGACAGAGAGAACAGTTTGGTGGTTACCAGGGGAAAGGGAGTTGGGGGGTGGGCACAAGGGGTGAAGGGGTGCATTTATATGTCGACTGACAAATAATAATGTACAACTGGAATCTCACAATGTTATAAACTATTATGACATCAATAAAAAAATAATCACAGTATTGATAATTCCTATATATTTTCATTTCTTGTCATTTTTAACATAATTACAGTTCTTAATAAAATTTTTTCCTCATGAAGTTTTACTTTTTAATAACTATATTTTCAGAAATGATGTTAGATTACAATACATCAAACTATACAAATTAAGATTCTTGCACTTTACTATTCGTATGTTATGTGCCAATATAAAAATTAAATGAGGTTCACAGGCAACAAAAGAAAAAAATACATAAATGGACTACTACATCAAAATTAAAAACTTCTGTGAATCAAGGGACACAATCAGGAGTGAAAAGAAAAGTCCTGGAATGGTAGAAAATATCTGCAAATCATATATGTGATAAGGGGTTAATATCCAAAAAATATAAAGAACTTCTACAACTCAACAACAACAACAACAAGAAAACTCGATTAAAAACTAGGCACATGATCTAAATAGACATTTCTTTAAAGAAGATATACAAATGGCCAACACGCACATAAAAAGATGCCCAATATCACTAGTCATCAGGGAAACGCAAGTCAGAACCACAGTGAGATACCATCTCACACCCATTAGGACAACTAATATCAAATAAACATAAAGAGTTGTTGAGGATGTGGAAAAATTTGAATTCTGCCTATTGGTAGGTATAAATAGTGCAGCAGCTATGGAAAACAGTATAGCAGTTCCTCAAAAAATTAAAAATAGAATTATCACATGATCCAGCAATTCCACTTCTGGGTGTACATCCAAAGAACTGAAAGCAGGATGTCAAAGAGATATTTGCACCCCCCTGTTTACAGCAGCTGTTCATAAGAGACAAGAGGTAGAAGCAACCCACGTGTTCAACAGATGAATGGCTACACAAAACGTGGTATGTACTGAAGAGGATCAGAACACGCCAGCCCAAAATATGCCACTTGGGCATATCGATTATTTTGAGCTGAAGGCAACTAACAAACAGCAGATGCAGGAATGGGTCTCTGTCTTCCCCTTTTCTGCCTAAAAACAGGGTATAAATTTCCCCTGAGAAATGTGCTCTCCCAGACCAGGAAGAAGCGGACGTTCTTATCACTGGAGATGGAGAGTCGACACTGAGATGAGTCTCCACAACAAACCTTACTAAAATAACCCTGATCTTCCATTCGTCTCCTCCATATATTTCCTAGTCACTTTCCCACAATTTACCATCCCTCAAAGCCCAAACCCCTTTCCTTTTTCTAGCCACTTCTCCACAATTATTGCCCTTTGCTAAAATGGTATATAAGCCCCCAAGTCTAACCATTTCTTTGGAGTTTTCACTTCTTTTCTATGAAGCCCCGTGTGTCATGTAAAAATATTAACATCAAATAAATCTGTATGCTTTTCTCCTGTTGATCTGTTTTTTGTCAGTTTAATTTGCCCCAGCTACACAACCTAAGAAGGTAAAGGAAAAGTATATACTATTACTCAGCCTTAAAAAAGAAGGAAATTCTGACGCATGCTACAGCATGGATGAACTTTGAGGACATTATGCTAAATAAATGAAATAAACTAGTCACAAAAAGAAAAATACTGTATGATTCCATTTATATGAACTATCTAGGGTAGTCAAATTCATAGAAACAGAAAGCAGAATGGTGGTTGCCAGAGGCTGGGAGCAGGGGGGAAATGAGGAGTTGTTGTTTAACTGGCATAATTTCAGTTTTGCAAGATGAAAAAGTTCTGGAGATTGGTTACATAACCATGTAGATTTACTTAACACCTTTGATCTTAGAAATGGTTAAGATGGTAAATTTAACGTTATGTGGCTTTTACCACAATAAAAAGTAATTTTAAAAAATTAAATGATGTTAAAATATGACATTTTATCTGAATTTTTAAAATTATGTATAATTTCTAATACTTACCTACGCTGCTGAGAAACATAGTAAGATATAGAATCCTAATAGATCTCCATCGGCTCTTATAATGCTGCTCAGTTTCTATAATATTCCATTCACTACGTGTAAAGAAGAAAAAAGTAGTATAAAGTCATCTCATTATGTACAAATCTTCCTCTGGCACAATTTCATTTTATCTCTCATAAAGTCATGAAAGTGATGTGATAGAGATATAATTTATTAATATTGGTTTTCGCTGTATTAATTCATCTATGAATAAGCATTATTTCTTTCAATTTCCATGGATCGTATTTATACATCATTGTACACAGAAACCTGGGAGACACGAGGTAGCTTAAAACGGCACAATATTTTGCGAACTAATTATTTTGCTATTGTTGGCATGCTACAAATGGATCAATCAAGAGTGTTGCAATTCATTATGACAAAATGAATAAAGCATATCAAGATAAATAAAATAAACTAGCTACAACAATTAGATCTCCCACAGGTGAGATATACAACTACTAAGTATTAACAGATAATCACTGTCATCATTATGACATGCTCTACTTGATGACAGCAAATTAACTTTGCTGCAGGAAGCTATTTTGACTGGGTGCTTCCAGCAAAACAAATGCAGAAGTGATACCAAGAAGGTCTGATGTGACCTACGACATTCCTAGCTCTGGACCTCCTGGAACACTTGCCTTTGCTCCAACATGGGTTACCAGACAAGTTCTATTAGTGGACCAAAGAGAGACCAAGGCCCTCCAGACTGGGCTGATCTTTCATATAGATCTGTGACCTGGACTAAGGGCAAGGTGACACATGAGTATCACTGAAGTCCTACTTCGGTCAGGTGACACATGAGTGTGTGTGCTCAATTACCTTTTCACATATGCATACGGCAAGAGTTAACAAATTTACCTTAATTTGAGCATTATATTTTCAAATAATTAAAACAAGCACAAGAGACAAAATGCCTTCTTATGTTCCAAGATTATTTTCTATAATAGACCTTACAGCTGTCAAATTAGTCTTCAAAAATGAAAGTTTTTTTTCAAATGTCATGTGACTGGCAGTGGTAGAAAGCGAAGGAAGAAGAGAGACAACGTTTATTAGATTTACTATGCACCAAGTATATTAGTTCCTGATATAATATACATCAAGTGCTTAACACTATATATACCATTCCATAAAAAGACCTTTCACCATAGTGTAGCATACCTGAAAAACAGCAGAACCCAAGATGACCATATTGGGAAATCAATACACTGGAATTTGGAATACATAATGCAGATAATTACATAAAGGCAAAAGGAACGTACCTTTCAATCCCACAGTACTGCACTCTGGTGTCACTTTAAGGCACTGGGTTAGCATTACATTTTTAATGAACCTATTATTATTTTCTGGAGATCAGAAGTTAAACTGATCATCACTAATAAGAACTATCATTAAAATAAGTCTGAAAATTTCCACATAACTATTTGCTCAGATCTTATCTAAGTTATGGAACCAAGAAAAGAAGTAAACAATTTGATTCTGAAAAAAAATGTAATAAAATTGTTTGTTTGTTTGAGTGACTTCAACTTGATTTGGAGCTTAGTCAAAAATCTTTCTTCTGTTAATGACAGCTATTAAATATTGAAGGGATGACAGAATTAGAAAATCACCATTTAATAACTAGTCTCCACGTAATAATGGATGAAGGCAAGGATCATCAACGGATCCTAAAACTTGTTGAAAGGTTGCTGAAGACAAGACAGTCACAGGGCCTCAAAGTATCACCCCACTGTCTACTTACTAATCACTAAAAGGAAAACAAGCCCTTATAACTAAGAGATATAACAGTTACCCTTTTAACCAGGTGGTCAACCTTGGCATCTGCATAGTGGGATGGCCTGGCATCTAATGCCTCCTGACACAATATATTGGGATGCTCTCAACGGGTTACAACCCATGGAATGTTCTTGCCAGAAATATTTGACCAGGATCTATTCAGAAAGAAACATTCCACAAATTCAGAATGTGAAATATTCTACAGAAAACTGACCTAAACTTATCAAAGGATTCAATGTTGGGAAAAACAGAGAGAGAAGGTCAGGGGACAGTTTTAGGTTGGGGGAGTCTAAAAAGACATAACAATCAATGTGTGAACATTTAGACAAACTAAATTCTACATTACTGTCCATAAACTAGAACCAAAACAACCAAAATTACAAGGGTCAAAATACACTTCATCTCTTACATGCTAAAAAATTAGTCTTTATTTATATATTTGGCATAGGACAAAAGCGAGCCCATTTTAGACAGGTTTACTTGCTAACAAAGTATCAAAAAGTTATCAGGCAATTAGATCAATACTAAAAGAGGTATCTTCAAGTATCGATCCAAACCACCATTTCGGAACTTTTGTGAAATGTGTAACATGATCAGCTCTGTAAATGGCCAAATGCAGAACGCAGTGGCTTGGCGGCTGCAACGCGGTTGGAGTTAAAGTCCCAGGGGCAGTTTGAGTTTCTCTAACACCTCCCCAGACCCGCCGGCTCACGGCGCCGAGCGGCCGGACGCCCTTTCTCGGCAGAGGGAGAGCATCTCCCGGGCTCGCGCGACCCGCCGCTGGCTCCCGCCGCCCTGGCACCCCTTGTTCGGCCCGGTGCGCCTGGCGCCGGGAAATGGGCAGGTCCCCATAGCGGAGGAAGGTGAGGAGGCTTTCCCCCAACCTCCGCTCACCTGCTTCCGGGTCTGTGGTCGCTTAAGAGCGGCTCCTGCTCAGCCTCCTTCCCCAGGCTCGCCATAGTTACAGCGCCCACGAGGCGGCGTGAGGCCAACTCTCGCGACACCTCCTGCTCCCTCCCCTTCTGTACGGCCAAAGCTGTCAAAATAAGCCACCAAATGCGCGTGCGCGCCCGCAGGCCAGAAGTGGGCGGAGCGTCCTGAGGTCAGAGTCTGGAGTCCTGTTGGCGCGGGAGTCCGGGCGGCGCCGGGCGGGAAGAGGTCAGGGCCGTGCCCTGTGTCCTGGTCCTCCTTCTTCGGGCTCTCCCTCTCCGCCTACCGGGACAGAGTTGCGGAGAGCCGAGGAGGACTCAGGGGCGTGTCCAAACGGCCACCCCGCTCCGTGCTCGTCCGTCTCCCTAGGCTTCGCTGTCGGCGGCCCCTGGCTCCTGCGTGCCTGGAGAGGCTGCTGTCGCTGCGGTTGGAGCTCGGACGGAAGGCGAGTCCCGGGAGCCACGGGAGCCGCGGTGCTGGGAGGCTCGGCCAGCTGGACAGCAGGCGCCCACCGAGCGGCCAGTAAGTGGCGGGCCCGGGCCTCGCTCTCCGAGCCGCTCCGCGCGCTGCGTACGTGCCAGGAGGCAGGGACTGGGGGAGCAGGGCTTGGCCGGAGACGCGGGGGTCCAGGGCGCGGGGCCGGGCGCGGGGCGCGAAACGAGGCCGAAATCCCGGGCGCACTCTGGAGGTCCCTTTCCCCTGTGGAAGGTGGAGGTGGCTGCGCGCTGTCATTTTCTCGCTCGGCTAACTACAAAGGCACCTTACCAGTAGTGCCTTGTTAGGTCCTGGATAGGGCCCTGAAGGTGGGGTCCAGGCCGTTCTAACCTGCTGATCCCCAGATCCGCACCCCACCGCCGCCGGGGGCGACTGGGGGCTCCAGCCTTGCAAGATGCTACTCAGCAGAGCCTGCTCCTGCAACCTGGGGGTTAGAAAATGCACAGCATCAGCTTAGCAATGACCAGCTCCTTCATCACAAGGAAGATGATATTTTTCGAAATATGTTATGGGTTTTTTTTTTTTTTTCTTCAGTAGATCTTGATGCTGTTTCTTTCCTAGTGCTTACATATTAACATGTTACCCCTACAAGTAGGCTTGTAAGCGAATTGGTAGCAGCAGTCACTATGTGTCATAATTACTGTTTTATTAGAGCTAATACATTCTTATGTGATTTCATTTGATCACAACTGTCCTATGAGATAGGTAAAGCAGACACATTTCTATTTTACAGAGAACTTAGCTCCAGAGAAGTTAATAAGTTACCCAAAGTCCACTTGGTGTGAAAGGGGCAGAGTTAGCATCCAGATTCAATTCTTTTCAACCAGTATTTATGAGCACTTACCCTATGCCAGGCCCTATAGTAGTTATACCTTGTGTTGTGTGCCATCACTTCTGATCTTCGTCTTGTTAGTGACCTTCCTGTGTGTATCCTATCAGGCACATCCCACTGGTGAACAGCTAAACTTGAAATGCGTTTTCTGTTAGTTCAGAATTATTTTCTGAATTCAGATCTAACATTTTGTACTTGGATTCAGTCTTGCAAATTTGTTTCTAACAGCTCACAAAAACATATCCGATTCCTATGATTGGTTCCAAGAGGGTACATGGGTAAAAAAATTACTATTTTTTTTGCCATAATGTTACTTTATTTTTGGCTTCTTTTTTAATCCCTGGAATCTAACGCAGTGTGTAGCATATATATATATGTGTATATATGTCTGTATATGTATATTTGACAGAGGAGATTTTAACCAGTATTGCACCAAGCATAATAGTTGCTAGATAAATACATGTTGAATGAATGCTCATTGAATTACCTCATTTCATCCCTACAACAATCCTCTGAGGTGGGATTGTCTCAAGCATATAAGGAAATTGAAAGCATGGAAATTAATTTACCTAGGGTCACACAGCTAATAAGCAACAGAGCTAAAATCCAAGAAACACGGGACTCCTGACTGTAAAGCCTATGCTTTTTACCACCAGCCTTCCTGTGAAAAGAATGTCAAGAAGAATCTTTTCCCGTATCTCTTAAAATATATTAAAACAGGGAATCAACTTTTATATAAATGAAATAATTTGCTATTATGTATTAGGCCATGTATTATTCCCCTTTTATAGGTTAAGGTGGCTTACTCAAGGTCACACAGCTAGTGGAGGAACCCAGGTCTTCTGACACTGCTATTTTCCATTGCTGCCTCCAAGTGATGACTTTAGACCACAAAAGTACATGGAATGAGTGCATGTAAAACTGGTGAACTCTAAATACGCACTGTGTATTGTACCAATAAAGAAAAAGAAAAGAAAAAATAATTTCTTAGGAACACACACAACCCCCAAACAAAGTGAACATTAAAAAAACTTTTAAAAAACTTAATTATTTTTGTTAAAAGCCCATGGAAAAGAAGAGCTGAGTTTGAAAAGAGATTAGATTATTTGCTGAATGTTTCACAGAAGGATATGAGACAGTCCACCTGTTGGATTTTCTTAGATGACTGCTTAGAATAGATATCCACTCCACCTAACAAACAAACAAACAAACAAACTTCCTATTTTTTCCCAATCTTCTGTATTAGATTAAAAGGAATTAAATTTGTTGAAGTAGGGTAGTAGATTTTAATAGTGGAGATCTAGGGTATTTCTAAACTCTTTGCTACTTAAACTTGTATAGTCATGTGCTGCATGATGATGTTTCAGTCATCGATGGACCATATGTATATACAACAGTGGTGCTATAAGATGGGTACCACACAGCCTAGGTGTATAGTAGGCTATACCATCTAGGGTTGTGTAAGTTCTGTAGGGGAGGAAGAAATTTTCCTCTATCCTTTTAGGTTATTCTGGCTGGTCTAAGAATTAAATTGACATGAGACAGATGAACAGGAAAAAAAACAAGCAAAAGTTTAATAACATGTATACATGGGAGAAACCCAGGAAATCCAACTGACTTGCCATAGTGGCCAAAGTCCTTAGCTTAAATACTATCTTCAGCTAATCTCAAAAGATGTTGGGGGTGGGGAGAGTCAGAGGCTTCAAAGGGAAGGAAGGCAATTCACGTGTAGGTGAAAAGGAGCAAACATTTGGAAAACAAGTGTTTGGCCACACAGAAACAGAACAACACAGAGAGGAACCCAGAAACAAGCTTTTCTAGGTTCTTCCCTGTCTACCACCTAGTTCATGTTATGCTAAGGTGATAGCTGGCTTCCAGAGACAGGTTTTTTTTTTTAATCTAAATTCTTTTAGGCAGTTAACGGGGAGATAACAAGAAAAACTTTCTGAGTCTTTTGTTTCTTAAAAATAATCAGCCTAAAATAATCCTCATGTTAAGGGGACACATTTTGAGGTGGCCAATTTTATTCCCCTTCAGTACACTCTATGATGTTTGCACAATGATGAAATCACCTAACAACGAATTTCTCGGAATGTATCCCCATCATTAAGCGATGCATGACTGTATTGAAAAGAAGTGATTTAAAAATGAAGCTATAAGATAAAGATTAGGTCTGCATTTTTGTGGAGTGAAGTTCTTGTACATGGTGGAATTTTTTTTTTTATTTCATTTATGCCTTTGACATATGTATCAACTATATGAGGATAAAAGTCTGGTAAAAATTAGGGTTGCATTGTTTAAATGCTTACATACCAGAGTGATAGGAGGTAAAAGTACTAGATGGCATAATAGATGTTGAGTGCCACTTTAGCAATAGAACTCATTTCTAAGAAAGATTTTCCATTCCTTGGCACTGTACTAGAACTTCTATTTTTGTTGCACTTTGTTTTTCCTTTTCACATTGGCTATATAAAACTATAGATGATAATTGTGTCAGTTTGGCTTGATACATACTTCAAAAGTGGGTACTGGTCCTGCAAAAGCTCACTGGTGTCAGTCCAGCCTGATGTGGGGGCTTTAAGTATCTGGTGTGGCTCCAAGTGGTGCCTCCTTTTTGGTAAATTAGAGTTATCTTTACCCTGGGCTTGGATTATTATCAGTTGTTGTTGGCACTGGATAGCAGTTAGCCCTGTCTGGAATGTTTAGAGCATCCCAAAAAACATGGTCTTTTATATTGTTCTTGGAACTGAAATGGGATTTAAGATCTGTGTAACCCCAAACTCCAGAACCAGACTTATAGTAAGCTGTGTGTGTGTGTGATCTGCTTGCTGTTCCTCATTGACCAGTTGTTTACTGGCAGGTAAATATAGCAAAGAATATGGTGGCTCTAGATTTGGAGTACTGACTCTCATGGCCTATGTTACACAGAACTAAAGTGATTAGGAAGGATTTTCTAGTATGGGGTTGAAATTTAGAAATGACTAAACAATTTAGGCACATAATAAATATAGTGCTTTATAAAATATTTGAAGAGTTCATTGTTCTCAGGTCCTTTCCTGCTTCCCTTGCAACTTTCTACTTTTGTATGTTTGTCTTACTGTGTTTTTATCTGTTATCAACCTAGAAGAATATTGTGTAGAAAAATGGGATGTCTCTTGAGCAATTTAGTACTTTTCTTCTTACTGTAAAATATGAGTGTTGGAATTTTGGTTTTTTTTACACTAACATGGAATCTGCTTATTGCCATTGATGCCACACATGTTACAAAGGAAGACATCGATCCCTGGCCTTTTCCTGCAACTGTAGAGAAAATAAATGTCCTGTAATACTTGCAAAAGACAATGAAGTCTTGTGTTATGATGACATGCCACTCTTCTACTGCAGTTTAATAAATATACACAAAAATGTATCAGTGCTATTTTTTGAACAATTCCAGAAAGATCCAAGGAGTAAAATAATTAAAATCATCATTCATCACTCAGAATTGTCTTTCCCCCATGTTTTTTTTTGTTTTGTTTTGCTGAGGCAGATTCGCCCTGAGCTAACATCTGTTGCCAATCTTCCTCTTTTTTGTTGCTTGAGGAAGATTCACCCTGAGCTAACATCCGTTCAGTCTTCTTCTATTTTGCATGTGGGTCACTGCTACAGCATGGCTGAGGAGTGGTGTAGGTTCGCGCCTGGGATCTGAACCTGCAAACCTGGGCTGCCGAAGCAGAGGGCGCTGAACTTAACCACTAGGCCATGGGCCTGGCCCCAGAATTGTCTTTTCTTATGCTATAGAACCCCCTGAATAGAGTTGCGTATCTAAAAATATAATAAGAGTTGTCCTCTTATTTGGAATATGGAACACTAATTCAGAATTTAAACTGTTCCATTTCCAACCCAGCTGGGTATAATTCAGTTCAACTCTGACGTTAATCACCCACAGATTAACACCACAGGTGTTAGTGCAGATCCCACAAGTTAAGGGATCAGTCCTCCAGGCACCATTACTTCCGATGCCAGCCACACTTCTGACTGACTTGGCTACAAATTTAGGGGTTCCTGTGACCCCTGTAGATGGATAATTTGCTAGAACAACGCAAAGAACTCAGGAAACCACTATACTTATGATTATAGCTTTATTTAAAAGGATACGACTGGGCCGGCCCATGGCTTAGCGGTTAAGTGCGTGCGCTCCGTTACTGGCG